TAGACCTTAAGAGATTGACAGCTTCTACCTCCTCTCTTTGGAGCACTTGCTCTCAGAGGCCTGAGCTACCATGGAAGAAGTCTGCAGACTCTGCCGGAGACAGCGCATGGAGAGGCCTGAGGTTACCTGGACAAGAGACGTAGAGCTGAGCCCAGCCCTGCAGCAATCCCCAGCAGGGCCCCGGACAGGTAACTGAAGGTGTCCTGGACCTTCCAGTCCACAGCCCATCCATCAGCTGAAAACCACCAAGGGACCGCATTTATGTCTCATGGAGCCAAAGAACCACCTAGCCAAGCCCTGCCCAAATTTATGACCCACAAACCACATAATAAAACGGTGGTTGTTTTGGCATATTTGTTACGCAGCAGTAGGTAACCATCAGAGCAGGTCTGAGAAAAGGCTCCAACACCAACACTTTCAACTTCAGGTGGTTCTGATGCAGAGGATTGAGGAAACACGTTGGGAAGCACCAGAAGAGAGGGGCTGACTCCAAGGCCAAGTGCCCCAGGTCTACAGCCCATCATACAGGGAGGTAAATGGAAAGAGACAAGGCAGAGCCAGAGAGAAAGGGAGCAGAGTCGACTGGGGGATGGAGAGGCAAAAACAGGTGAAAGGGAGGACAGAGAACAGCTTTGAGACAGACAGAAAACCAGACAACTCAACTCAACAAGTGGTGATTCTTGCCTCCTCCGTGCTGGTGTGGAAGATGCAGAGACAGGGGTGACCCAGCCCCGCATCTTGGAGTTCATGTTCTAGACACAGGATGGCACAGAGTGAGGGTGGCAGAGACAGGGAAGAATAAGACAGAAAGGGCAGGGCTAATTCTGAGGTCAAGGCCACCAGAAGCCACTCTCTGGGCCTGGGAGCTCCCGCCTGACCTGATCACAGGATCCTTCCTGCTCTTGCCTCTGAGCATGAGGCCCCTGGAAGGGCTGAACAGGCATTGGGGGTGGGGGATGGGGGCACCTGGAAGGGGAGTTCACCATGGAGCTGAGTGTTGAAGGACAGGGAAGTCAGAAGAGGTGCTGCAGTAGGGAGAACAGCAAAATCAAAGGCCAGTGGGGGTACAGGGGTTGGTGGGGGAGGAGACAGAGGAGGTGGGCAATGCCAAATTTAGTGACAGATTGAAGGCAAGTGAGTCTGGCTCCCGGATGCGAAAGCATGAATCTGTCCCAGGTGGAGGGGTCTGAATCAGACACTGGCTCTGCTGTCTACTTTGGAAAGGCTCATTCATGGCACTATTGTTCTCATGATATGAATGGCAGAATGTAAGACACAAAATTTTGGCTAATGAGGTTGGACAGAAAATGGATTGAGAAAACATCAAGGGAAATATTTAGATATTCAATCAACAAATATTTATTGAGCATCTACTATGAGCTGGAACTGGGATACAGCAGGGAACAGAGTCCTCATGGAGCTCAAGGTCTAGAATATGAAGACAGAAAAAAACACAAGTGGATGAGTAATATGACCAGTGGTCATAAGATGAAAACAAGGGAGGGCACTCCACAGAAGATAGACAAATGGCCAACAAGCACACGAAAAGATGCTCAGCATCACTTGTCATCAGGGAAATGCAAACCAAAACCAAAATGAGACATGACTTCACACTTATTAGGATGACTATTATTTTTTAAGAAACAGAAAACAAGTGTTGACAAGGATGTGGAGAAATTGGAACCCTTGTGCATTGGTGGTAGGAATTAGAATGATTTAGCCACTATGGAAAACAGTATGGCAGTTCCTCAAAAAATTAAACATAGAATTACGATATAATCCAGTTATTCCTCCTCTGGGTATATACCCAAAAGAATTGAAAGCAGGGACTCAAACCTATTTGAACACCCATGTTCCTAGCAGCGTTATTCACAATAGCCAGGAAGTGGAAACAAACCAAAGGTCCATTGGTAGACGAATGGATGAACAAAATGTGGTCTATCCATACGATGGAATATCATTCAGCCTTAAAGAGGAAAGAAGTTCGGACACAATCGACAACATGGATGAATCTTCAGGACATTATGCCAAGTGAAATAAGCCAGACACAAAAAGGTAACTATTGTATGATTCCACTTACATGAGGTACCTAGAGCAGCCAAATGCATAGAGACAGAGAGGAGAACGGAGGTTGCCGGGGGCTGGGGGGACAGGAATGGGGAGTCAGTGTCTAATAGCAGCCCACCCCTCTCCCCCACCCCAATGAAAAAAGTTATGAGGATGGATGGTGGTGATGGCTGAAGAACAATGCGAATGTGTTTAACACCACTCAACTGCACGCTTAAAGTGGCTAAGAAGGTAAATATTATGTTATGTGTATTTTACCACATTTTTTTTAAAAAAAGGGTAAGAGGGAAAAATAGTGCCGGGTGGGGAGACACTATTTCATATGGGGAGGTCTTGGAAGGGTTCATTGATCACATGCTATCCGAGCAGAGATGTATGTTCCAGCGGAGAGTGGATGGGGAGGGGGGAGGCACCAGGCAGGCAACGAGGACCAAGGCCTGGGCCAGGCAGACGCTCTGGGTGTGAGAGGAACGGTTCCAGACGGTGGAAGGTCTGCAGGGAGAAGGGGCAACTGGAAGGCTCAGGGGACGCCCAGGGCTCTGGCTTAGAGTCTGGACTTGACAGAGACATGGGTCAGGGACCCAGGATGAAGCAGACAGCACCTCCAAAGGTTTAAGTGAGGAGAGCTTGATGAAGGGACTGTGGACAGAGGTGCAGGCAAGGACACGAGAACAGACCAACGAGGGCTAGAGAGGCACCCAGAGACTTATAACAACGGGAGCCATTACCACCTCTGAAGGGCCACAGGGAGGAAACCCAATGCCAGAGATTCGTCAGAAGAACTGGAGCCATAGATGAGGGGCCACTGGACCAGAGCTGGACAGGACTTCAGAGGGGAATATATACCTAACTTCTCTCTCCTCCCACCCTTCCTTCTCCTGGTGATGCTTCCCCTTGGATGGAGCCAACCAAAAGTCAAGGACAAGGGAACCTGGGTAGTCAGTCTGCAGACGTCAGCCTCCCGAGGCCCAGAGCAGGGCAGAGAGCAGACCCAGAGGGGCGAGCAGAGAAACCCTGCACAGATGGTGATGCCCTTTGTTGAAAAGAGGAACAAAAGAGGAGATCTTTTTGGAAAATTAGCAGGCTGGTAGGGAAACCAAGGCAGAGGTCTATTCCTTGGAGCCAGGGCAAGGGAGTACAAGAGCTGAGAGGGCTTCTGGGGCTGAGACTGCCCAGGCCTCCAGGGCTCCCCCCGCCCTCCGTGTAATAGAACAGAGGACCAGGGACGGCGGGGGAGGTTTGCCAGCAGCCAGCTTGCAGGACCCTCAGCAGATGAGGAGAGGGCAGGAGGTGTGCCCAGTGGGGGCGAAGTGTTGCCAGGTACTAGTCCCAAACAGAGTTGAGACCAGGGCTGGTCAGGAACCAAATCATTGTGGCGAGGTATCATAAAGCCGACTTGACTTCATTTAAGGAATGGGCTTTCCTCAGAAAGGATGGTGTGTCCCTGCACCTCCTGTGGCCTCCTCTGCCCCCTCCACACCCAGCCCTGGCTCCCCAGGCAAGGAGAGGCCTGTGGGCCCTCCAGAGGGCACTCTCCCAGCCCTTGATCTGCCTACTCCCTGCTCTGCCTTGGGAGGCCCAGCCAGGCAAAGGGGGCAGCGTGTCCCTGGCAGGGGAAGCAAGCACATTGGTGCTAGGCCAGCCCAAGGCCCCAGCAGATGAAATATTCATGCAGCCAGAAGGCAGGAGACTAACAGAGGACTCGCCCCTGGGGCTATGGGGCTGTGGTAATGGCGGCAGCAGCCGCAGCCCACCCCTCTCCCCCACCCCGAGCTTTGTTCTGCAGACTGGGATGGGCCTGCAGATCCAGGATCCCAACCACTCTCTCTCCATGTCTCTAACACATACACCACACACACACACACACACATACACTATACCAACACTCCAAAGGCACACATAGGTGAAGAAATTTGGGGGGAAAGAGAGGGAAAGGGAGGGGAGGAGAGCACACACAGACACAGATTCCAGACACGGATACAGAAACAGATGCACATAGATGCACATATATACAGATGGACACACACACACATAAACCCGCACAGACTCACATCAAACATATACTTGATCCACGGATGACTCTCAGGATCACACAAATGTCTTCTTAAAATCTGTGCTCCGGGCACCTCACTTGCCTCATTCTACTCCTGGCCCAGCTCAGGCCTCCTCTGGCACTTCCAGTCCCGCTCGCTTCCTGAGACACCCACGTGGACACCACTGGTGGCTCCAAGCAAAGGCCTCCATGTTCCTGGCTTCCACTACAGAAAGGTCTCTGGGCTTCCAAAGCCCCTTCTAGAGCCTGCCCCCACCCCTGAGTTTCCTCCACACAACCCATTCACTGTTCAGTCAAGGGAAGGGAGGCAGGAGTTACAGGAGGGACAGACCACCCAAGGTCACAAAAAGAGTAATCCAAGGGTGACTTGAACTCAGGACTCCGGACACCGAATCCGGAGTCACCAAAGGTCCAGCGAGTCCATTCTCAAAATCTCTCGCCGTTGGGCTGTCCCCCACCACCTCGCCTAGCCTCGGTCCGGCCACCAAGAGGCACGATGAAAGGGACGTCCTGGGCGTGTCTCCCAGCAGGATCTGGCCCTCTTAAACACCCGCTGCCCGGACAGTGTCCTGGCGACGACTCAGGATACCGAGTTCCACTCCCAGCTGCAAATTAATAAGCTCCCTCGCCCCAGGAGCCTCCTGGGACTGGCGTGGCCCCACCCGCAAGGCGTGGAACAAATGTCGCCGCGGTGGAGAGCCCTTCCGCGACGCGTGGGTCCCCTGCCTCCGCTCGCGGTGGGGACCTCCACGCCTGCGGAGGGCGCTGTGGGCGCCGAGCCGCTCTGGCCGGCGGGCGGGCAGGGAGGCGCCTCCATGGTGGTGCGCTGTCCAGCATTTCAGCAATCGGCGGCGGCGGCGCCCGCGGGGAGACGGAGGGCGCGGGGCCGCGGGGGCCGCGGAGCTGCCCTGCCAAGCAGAGCCGAGGAGGCGGCCCGGAGGCGGCCCGGACAAGCGGGGCCGGAGGGCCTGGCTCCAGCGCCCTTCGGAGTGCGGCGATCAGCGGCGAGGTGAGAGCCCCCGGTGGGGCGGGGGCATTTCCCAGAGGGGCTGGGGCTGGGTTGAACCTTGGGCCTCCCCAGCCGGGCCAGGGCCCAGGGTTCACAGAGCCCGGAGCAGAGGTTAGGTGTTAGGGGACTGCTACAGTGTATGGTAGAGGGTGCGAGTCACCTAGGGAACAGAGATTAGGAACGTTGTTCATTTTGCTGAGAGGGATGGAGAAAGTGAGAACCCTGCCGGGTCATGGGCAGGACTGCCCTGGGTAAAATGACCATGGCCTGGCCCATGAGGATGCAAGGGAGGCCCCCAACTGCAGTCCAATTGCCCTCCCCCAACTGAGGAGAAGGACTTGCTCCCTAGGGAAGGGAGAGACCAATGCAGGGACCCTGTGGAGATGCTGCTCACTCGGAGGGGTGGAGGGAAGAGGCCCCCTCCTGAATGCTGGGCTTCTGTCCAGCAGGAGGTGGCAGCACAGGGGACAGTCTGGCCCCTTTTCCAGCTGCCCAAGTGCCCCTGGGAGGCAGGAGCTGGCAATGAGAACTGGGTCTCACACAGGATGGCATTTACTCTCACACTAGGAAGACGATAGAGGACACAGAAGAGAAAATAGCCACTAGGAGTTTAGGGGGCTTTTCTGTGGCCTCTCTGGATGCCCAGGGAGAGTTTCTGGAGCTCAGAGTGAGCCCAGCCCCAGAGCAAATTCCTGGTAAAAAGGAGAAATGAAAGAAGAGACGCAGCCTCTGCCTTGCATCCTCCTCCCCCTCCCTCCCAGGGCTCCTGCCTGGACAGTTGAAGCCTCCTGCAGTTCCTGCTCCTGGCAGCAGGTCCACTGTGGGGATGGATTTGGGGTAGAGCAAGAGAAGGGCACCCAGGTCCGTCCTGGTACTCCAATGCCTGTGCTCCATCCCAGCCATAACTTCTTACTCCCCTTACTCACTCACCCACCCACTTCTGGCATCAGGGGGCCTGGGCTGGTCTTTTGTCCTGTGTCAAGAGAAAAGGCAAATGCTTTGATGGACAGCAGGGCAGGGGCTGGAGAACTTCTCCATCCAGGGGCCTCCTTAAGGTCATGGCCCCGGCATGTGCCAGATTCTTCCCCTACCAGAAATAGGATCAAGCTGGCTAAGAAATTGCTCCCACACAATACCAGTTTTTGATTTCTTAACTTTGTGCCCCATCCCACTCTCCTGTGAGGGGTGGAGGAGGAATTCTTGAAGAATGAATAGAGTTGACTGGATTTTAAGAGGTGATGGTGGGTGCAGTAAGGAGTTGTGGACTCTGAAGTCTGAGAGACTCAGGTTCAAATCTAAGCTATGTGACTTTGGGTAAGACACTCAACCTTTCTGAGCCTGTTTCCCAATCTGTACAACAGGTACAGGGCTAACAGCATCTACTTTGCTGTTCAAAGAAGTAATCCAGATAGTGGATAGGAAACTACTTTGAAACTATAAAATACTGGGCAAGTGTTAGTAAATTGTACGTCAGTAAGAGTTTCTTAAGGAGGAGCTGGATAAAGGTGGGAAAGTTTTCAGCATTGTTTGAAGCGCATCTTTGTCTTCCCAGAGGTGGTGGACATTGGCTGAGGGCCTCCTACCAGGCTCCGTGCTAGGCACAATGCTATAGCTAGCTCAGTTAATCCTCACAAAAACTTCACAGGGAAGCCATCATTGTCCCTATTTCACAGCTGAGAAACAAGACTTGAGTGACTTTCCCAAGGTCATGAAGCCATCCAAGCTGTCTTCCCTGGGGCAGGAGTGGAGCCGATGACCTGTCTCAGCCCCTTGATATCAAGGCCCAGTCAAATGCCAGTTTCTGGATTCATGATGCCAGCTGTCCAGGTGGGAAGCCTGAGGCATATGGGTGACGGTGAGCAGTGCAGTGAGGAGCTGACTCCCCCAAGGTCACTGGGATATTTGGAGGTAGAATGTGCTTTGAACTGGCCAGCTGGGTGCCCCCACTGTAACCCACCCCCACCACTGTCCCGCCTGCCAGAGGGGGAGTCTGGGTCTTGCAGGCCCATCTGCTCACGGCTGCACCCACTTCTCACCTCATCTGCCTGCCAGCCTCTTGCTGACCTCAGCAAGCCGGTGACTGCCTGTTCCTTTCTCAGCGGTTAGCCCTCAGCCCCTGAGATGGGGCCATGGTCACAAGCAACTGCCAGCATTGCTGGGGTCAGCCTCTCCTGCTCACTTTTCTCTTCCTCTGCCCACTGCTTACTGCCCACAGGGGCAGAATCGTGGCTCCTCCTGCCTCAGCCGCCAGCGGGGGGCTCTGCGGAGAAGACTGGGGGGAGCCCAACCTCTCTTCCTCAGCTCCTGCGCACGCTCTGAGCCCTGCCGTGGACCTTCACTTCCAGTATCTCATTTCATCCTCAAGGAAACTTGTGCCAAAGGTGCCGCTGTCTCCCTTTCACAGAGGAGCAAAACGAGGCCTGGAAGTGAGGTGACTTTCCCAAGGTCACAGAGCAAGGTCTGGGTGCAAACCTAGCCCACTACCTCAGGGGCCCAGCGTGGCTTCCACAGCACCACTCCATGCTCAGTCCTCCAGGCTCTCATGAGGGAGGTCACTCAGGGCTCTGTGGGCCAGTGGGGGGTGTGGAGTGGCATGTGGTGGAGGTAACTAAAGGGCTCTGGGACGAGAATCCAAGGCCTTTCTTTCTGGGCCCGGCTCTGACTCTGGCTCCTTGTGTGACCTTGAGCAACTCCCTTCCTGTCTTTGGGCCTCGGTGTCCTCAACCATAAACTGATGGGGTTTGACTGGATGACTCCCCAAAGGCCTTGCCAGCACCAAGACTTTAAGATCGCTCTGCTTTATAAATCTGTGTGTCAGGAAGCCTGTGGTTCCATTGACAGAGGTAGAAGTCACCTCCAATGTTTCAAGGTGTGATTTATTATTTGGAGCTGAGGTTTAAAATTCACCCATCCTTCCCACCTTCAAACTTGGGGTCTTAACTCAAGGGGGAAAATATGACCTGGAGAGGCCTCCAGGACAAGCTCACGTGGAGATCCTGGGGCTCTTTGGTGGCTCAGGATTTGAGGCAACCTGCAGGAAACTGAAGATGCCCTCCACACACCTCCCAGAGTTGTTCACCACAGTCCAGGAGGCCCCCAGGACACACGTGCGCGGGTGCCCTATCCCACGCTGTGCGCCCTAGCAGAGGTGTGGTGATGGAGGCTTATTCATGGAGTCCTGGGGAGACGGAGGGATTTTGTAGCTTACGCTCTGAAGAGAGGACACAGGGCCCTGCAGAGGGAGTGGGTTGGTATGGCGACTGGTCCAGGCTTGCCAAGGAGGAGCAGCCAGACGAGAAATGGAGAAGTTCCTTCTCAATTCCAATACCTGGGCTCAGGGAAAGGGTGGGGAGCTCAGAGAGGTGGAAGGGCTGAATGAAGAGAGAAAGGATCCATGAGGAGCACTCAGTGGGGTGGGGGGCAGAGAGGAAGCGGGTTGGGGAGAGAGAGTGCTCAGTGAGGGGAGAGATTGATCTGTGAGAGGGCAGGAGGCCCAGAAGAGCAGAGGCACCTGTGACAGGGAGGGACTCGTTAGCAACAATGACAGACCCCAGCCTGGCCCAGCCTAGGTCTTCACCGTGGCTCAGTGCCTGCTGACACCTCTGGGTTCCTGCCCCTTCACCTTCTTCCGGGTGATGAGCACGGGAGGGTGACAGCCCATCCCCAGAGGCCAAGGCCCATTGACTCATGTCATCCAGAACAGGGCTCTGAGGGGGCCTGGGCAGGTGAACGAGGTTCAGGCTGTCCAGACTGACTACTGGCCTGGGAGAAAGGCCTAGGTGACCTTGTGTGCCTTGGCTCCGGAGCAGCCCCCAGCCCTCAGGGACTCCCCCACCCCATAGCCCAAAGCCGCCAGCCCACCGTCTGCGATGCTGCTTCCTCGGCAGCCAGCCTGGCCTCAGCCTCCTGCCGCCCCCGCCTGGCCTCCTGCCCACTGCAGAGGCTGCTGTGCCAGCTGGAGCCGGCGGGCAGTGCCACAGCTCCCTCAGCATCCTGCCGGGGCCTGGCAGGGCTATGAGGCGGCCTGGGCCCAGTGAACCGGACCCTGGGGTACGGGCAGCTTGCGGAGCTGGGAGCTCTGGGCCTGCCCATTTCCAGCTTTGAGCATGGCCTGTGGCTCTGAGACCCCTCCTCACACTGAGCCCCATTCCCACCACCACTCCCCAGGACTCCCCAGGATAGAGACAGGTAAAAGTAAGTTTCATTGAATCCTTTGGATTTGAAGAATGGCACATCTTCATTGTATAAGACTTGGGAAATAGAGAAACTGAGGAGAAAATAAAAATCGTCTGTAGTCCCACCGCCCAGAGACAGCTGCTGTGAACACGGTGAGGGTATTTCCGCCCGGGGTTTTGTCCATGTGTTCGTAGACGCCCAGCATTAAATAGCTGCGAATATGCTGTCGGGGGAAGTTGGCATCCTATTTTTTCCCCCTATTGTGAGAATTCTCTAATGTCTTTGGAGATTCTTCAAAAGCCATCCTTTTAATGGCCATACTGGTGGAACTGCTCCCAGGGAGCCAGTGAGAGCTGTGGGGAGAACCTTGCCCCTCCCCTGCCCTCTTGGGTGAGGCACACCTTTGGGGTCTGCTGGCTGTGGATTTCCCTTGGAGAGGATGGCTTTGCGGCCCGTGACAGGGTAAACCAGGGACTGAGGTGGGCCTGCTTCCTCCGCACAACCCTCTGCCAGGGACAGAGGTGGGGAGGGCCAAAGCTGCCAGGGGAGGGGGAGCATGAGAGAGTCATCCGCCCGCTGGGAGGGCGAGAACGTGGATCCAGCAGGACCTGAGAAGAAAGAGCTCAGAACTGGGAATCAAGCCACTGCCAATCTCCTGGGCTCCAATCACATCTAGGCCCCAACTTCCACAGTCAGGTCTCTTTCCTCCTCTGCAAAGGGGGCGTAATAACACCTGTCTCCAGGTGTGCTATGAGAAGTGACTCAGGGAATGGGGCTGAAAGCACTGAGCGAGGATAAAACCCAGTGCACTCCCAGAGACGGCT